CAAGCCTTGCAAATGGAATAGACGTTGTTCTGTCCAGGTCTACAATCTCTCTGGCGCTTGGGCCCTCCATGGCCCCGTCTCTCTCCACACCTCTCTCCAGGGCCTTTTCCACAATGCTGCCCCTCCTCAGTAGCGCTGCCCTCTCGCAGGACCTTCTCAGTAATGCCGTCTGTTCTTGGGGCTCACCGCAATGCTGCCCCCTTCTTTGGGGCTCACCACGGCCACACTGGGGCTTCTCCCCAATGCCCCCTTCTCTGGGGCTTCTCAGCTGCCCCTCTCTGGGGCTGGGGCCTGTGCACCCCGAATGCTGCGCCCTGACTGGCGCTGGGGTCCTTGCTCTAGTGCGAGTCCCCTATGAGGCCTCCTCCAACCCCTAAAAGCCTCACCCAAGCCACCGGTGATAAACAGCAAAACAAAACACAAGCCCCTAGGCTATAACATAACTTAAGGCTGCCCGGCTAAAAACAGGTTGCTCAAACAGCCCAGGGCTGCCATCCTTTACCCGGCTTGGGCTGTACCTGCGGTCAGGCTTCTCCTCACATCTTTGCTCAGGGAGCTTCTTCCTCTCAGCTCCTTAGGTTTATAAGGGAGCCAGGCTCTGCCCCTTCTGGTCAGCTGACCTCCCCTGGTTGCCCTGGCGACCCGCAGCTGGGCTCCTTATTCACTGCTAGGGACCTTTCCCTAGCAGTTTCTCCTCTTTAGGAGCAGGGCACCTCAGTGCTCTGCGACACACCCCTTTGTCATTATTACTGCTGGTGGCATCAAAATTCCCTTCAGCCAGACCTGACAGGACCTTGGCATGAATCTCACTAGGCCCTGCTGACTTGAAAGCATTCAAATGAATCAACAGCTCTATGACCCTCTCTATGGTCATTGAAACCCTCAGCCTTTCTCCTTCCTTGTCTATTTAGGCAATTCTTGTTAGCTGTCTGGTTGCAGGTGTGTGTGTTTGTGTGTGTGTGTGTGTACGCACACGCGCATGTGTTCTTGCTAGATCTTGGTGTGCCTCCGTAGCAATGAACCTTCCTCCCATTGCCTCTATTTTCTCCTTTTGTTTTGAGGCATTAGAGGAGCCTCTTGTGAAGTCACCTCACAAAGACTTCCTCTGTGATATCAGCCCAGGCACTTATCTCAGAAAGGCCTGTACTTGGACATCAGCCCAGCTAAGCTGAAGTGCTGAGCAAGTGACCTCAAAGACCCTTGTACCTTCACACCAGCTGAACAGAACAAAGTGCTTAGTTACTATCTTCACAAAGCTCTTTTCCCTAGACATTATCACACCTAAGAAAATACTAAAAACAAAAAGCCACTTCATGTAGGCCTCTGTGGTTGCCTCACTTAGTGACTTTGGCTTCACAATGACCTTTACTCATCTCTTGGTAATCAGAGACTCTTGGCCAGTTTCTAAAGGAATGTGCACTTAAAGATCAGGTTTTCACCCAGCCAGACACAAAGCGAACCCTACTGATAAATACAAGGTGGTGCTATGAGCTTGCTATAAAGGAGAATATATTGCAGCTTTTTCTTTCTGGTAATGGAAATTCTGTGCTTCCAATCGAGTCTAAACTTAATGGGCTGGAGTAGTGGAATAATAGCAACCAATCCAAGAGGAGAAACACAAAGAGCCAGGGACAATTTGTAATGACATTTCACAACTTTATTGATAACAAAGCACTAAATAAATCATAAAGCATTTTCAAATGATTGCAGGTTCCTGGCATCAGGGGAGGTCATCTCTAGGGGGCTTCTTCCATCTTCACATCTTCCATCAAGACTTTGCAGCAGGTGCAGAGAGGAGGGATGAAGACTGCACAGCCAAGAGAACAGCTCAGGAGTGCCACTGTCTCTCCTGCTTCTCCACACCTGGAGATCCAACATTGCCACAGCAGCTTCTTTGAAACTGGGAGATCTTATACATCTGTGGCACCCCTATTCCTCTGAATCCAGTAGATCCATTGTCCCCTGCCCACCCAGCAGGAGCACACACTGCAGCTTCTTGTTCAGCCATGTCTTGGCCTTTGCCTTTGGGTATCTGCAACTTCTGCTTTGTCAGCTCCTGCTTTTGCTTCTGCTGTATTTGTCCTTTGCCATTTCCAGATGAGGTATTTCCAGCAGTCAATGAAGCAGTAGTTGGAACATGTTGCTGGTTTGAAAGAACCTCCTGCTCTGGTCACAAGTCCAGAGCTTCTGAATCAGGCCTGCAGGCTGGGCCTTTTTATGCAGGAGCTGCAGGTTGGTGCAAACCAATCAGATGGGGTTTATCCATATACAGCCTTCACATAGGTCCACATCCCATAAAGCTTTTCCTTTGTGGCAATGACCATATAAGGAGACAACTGAAATTTTAGGAAGCCCCTAAAATCATGGTCATTGGACATAATTAATGGATGGTAATTTTTAGTAGACAGTGCGCACAATCCAGGATACACACAGCAGACTTCCTTAAGAGCATTCCACTATTCCCACACACTCATAATGCTCTGATGACTTTTTTAATCGTGTCCATTTTGAACAGTGGGTTATTTGGCAAATCTCAGAGAAGGGGGAGGTTTCTACTTCAACCAAAAAAACACATTCTGGTCATGGGAATATAAGCAAGCTGGACTGTCTCACACTTGGACTGATATGGCTGGCACTGTATGCTAAGTACACCCATTTCATCCCCCATGCTCCTTTTAGAGGCAAGAGCAAGAAATTGCATTTATGGTGGCATCAAATGGCAGCAGTTTCAACCCTTGAGCATTCATGGATGGGCATAATTCTAGCAACCTCATCTAGGTCACACAGAGACAAAGTTAAAGCTGAGGACAGAATCCCTTGTGTCTGCTCACCCTCCACCCTGTCCATGGTAGGAGCACAAAATCAACACTTGTCCATGCAGCCCAAAATTACACTTATTTTTCTGTGACTGCATCACACCACTGACCTGTCCTCAGGCATATTGGTGCTGAATTTCTGACTTTGAATTTCTAGACAACTCTGGATTAAGTGTAGAGATTAAGGGCCTTGTTACACATTAATTTAGGTGGCTCCTGGAGCTCTTAACCCCTGGACTGTTCACATATTAACACCTGAAACTAGTTTTAAGCACCACTTAGGTGGCTTAAAGTTATGCCACACCAGCCTAGATTTATCTGATCTGTATTACATTCATGTGTAGCTGCTCTAGGCTACACCTTAGTGTGGACATCCTACCCGTCCCCTCCCTCCCCTGCTTGTCTGAATCAAAACCACTACCTCTCCACTACCCAGTCGAGCCTCTACCCACCCCCCCATCCTGCAATAGCCTGGACTGGCTCACTGTCCCCCACCCCACCCAGCATCCCAGATCCCTGCTCACCACTCCATCCCCCAAGGTCCCAGCTTGGTACTGTCCTGGGGGAACAGGCAGGGTAGGGGAACCTGCCTGCCTGCTTGGCCATGGCCACAGCCACAGCCACTGCTGCTCTCTGGGCAGGTGGCCACAAGTAAGTTGGGGGGCACAGCTGAGCCGTGAGGACTGGGGGGGTGGGGGACCCCCGAGGAGCAGGCAGGAGCAGGGGAAGACCCAGGAGGCAGGGGGAAACCCAGAATAGGAGAGGAGGGAAAGGGAGGGGACTGAGTAGCTCAATACGGACAGTGTAACAAAGTCCTAAGTTTAGTTGTGTTAATTTGAAACCAAGTAGAAGGCAGCGTAGATGTGCAACTTATAAATTAAACAAAGTAGACATATTTATATAGCACACTCTTTAATGAGCTGAAGGGAGGATGAAGTGAGCTTCAGCTCACAAAAACTATACATAATCTACTTTGGTTAGTCTATAAAGTGCACATCTACCCTGCTTTATATTATCTTACGGTGTATACGAGAGGTAAGTGATGGTACCGCTCTGCTCAGTGCTGGTTAGGTCTCATTTATCACAGTATGTACAGTTCTGGGCTCTACATTTTAAGAAGGAGGTGGGTTTGGACAGCAAGCAATGTGAACAAAAGTTGAGAGGGTTCGGTGTGCTTAGCTTGGAGAAAAGGAGATTAAGGAGATGAGAATTTTTTCTTTACTAAATGTGGATTTCAAGAAAGCAAAACATTTTGCTTTTCTTTTTTGGCCATGACTTCTTGGGCCCTGATGCAAGGCAAATGAGGAAGGAAGAAGAGAAGGAAGATGATCTTGTGCCTTACAGACCAGACTAGACTCAGGCACTTTGAATCCATACCTGCCCTTGTGATCTTAACAGCTACACATGAATTTCCCCAAATGTCACATAGGGATAAGGATCAGTGGCAGGAGAAAATGTTTAAATTAATTGCCTCTTTGCTGAAAAATACAGTTGTGAGGAGACCAAAACTATTTGTGAATTTTGGTCACATTTGGCAGATTGTTTTAACCAAAAAGAGAAAGGGGCAGGAGAGGGGAGCAGGGGAAATGTGGTTCAAATATTTGAATATTTTTTATTTAGAATTGATGTTTCAAGCCCCCAAATTAACTGCATTTAATTTCAACATAAATTAATTACAATAATTTTTGTGAGGTTTGTATTTCAATGAAAGAATCTACCAAGCTGAAACTTTTTTTTCCCAATTCCTCAGTTTGGACATCAAACTGCAAAAAATAACCACACTGCTCTAATGATGATTCTTCACTCCCTCAGAGGCATGATGTAAGTATAAATACATTTATATGTTGTGAGGTAGAAGTATCACAGAATCAACACTAGCTTGACACCAGAGCTGGCTTCAGGGGGTCCTTTTAAAAGAAGGAGACCAAATAAAGCTGCTTCTTGGGGCATCCCAAGGCAGAGCTTTCCCTTCAAAAGTAGCACTGATCTTGTGACAAGTAGATATTGTGGTACACAGTGGAGTTATATATGAATCTAGCTGAAACTTCATGAAGATGGAAGGTAATGGCTGAGGGACAGAGTAAATGTGTTATATTATTCTTGATCATTTGTATATAAAACCCCACATTCTAATGGATGGATTTCAAATAAGGGGAGGGCACAGACTACTTCATAAGTGTTTATTGTAAATCACTCAAGAGTTTACACATCATTAATGGCAAATTAACATTGTTAAAACACCTGCTGGATGAAGTACAGAATAAAGACAATTATTTTATATTGGCATCAATTAAAAACAAGAAACCAAACAAAAGAAAAATCCAAAACAACTGAGGTTTTTTTTTAATTCTACATCATTCCTAACAATATCTGGACTTGATTCTCATTTACCTAAAGATCCTCTCCTCTTGGACTAAGCATGTGAATTCACGCTGTCAGAGTGGGGAAAACCTCTGGACTAAGCATAAACGAGAAGCAAGTCCTCTGTCTTCAAAAGTGCTCCAGTGCTGACAATATAAAGCCTCTCTCCTGCACTGGCTAACATCTAACACAAAGGGGTATATGGCCCATTAATTCAACATGCTCTTTTTACAAGGCAACTGTTAAATCCAGAAGCTACATAACTATCTTTTTTATACTTTGCTCTGAAAGCAATGGAAGTTGCATGCATCTGAAACATCAGTAGAAATTGAAATTTAGATAAAGGCTGGTTTTTAAAGACATAAGAGTCAGCAGTGGAAAAAAAATCAAGATACTTATTGTGCAGAAAGAGCTAAAGTATGCATGCATCAGTGACTGTGACTGGTCAGAATATAAATCAGATCTCCAAACATTTAAACTGAAGCTTTATTTGGCTTAAGACATATTTGAACTGTACACCTTTCTAAATTACAACATGTATGTGACAACAAATGAATCGTCTAAACATAACATCAGGTTGTGTTTTGGCCTGTGTAGCATCTAGCTTTTAACACAAAAGCTGGCTCAGCAATAAGTGAAATTCATCTTCAGCAAAGACAGTGGAGCATTGCTCTTGCAAACAGGGCAAACAAAACAAAGAAAGCAGATTTTCAAACAAATGTGATTTTTTTTCCACGCATTTTTTTTTAATTCCTTTCTGTCAGCTTGTTTTTGTGACAGCAGATTAGGGCCTGCCTCTCACCTCCCACTAATATATCTCAAAGCATGTTTGGTCAGCTAGTAAAAACAAATGCTCACCTGCACTGCACTTTGAAAGGATAATTAGTTTCTCCATCCTGCCAGGTTTAACATGAACAAGCATTTTACAGTGTATGTTGGGCGTCAGCTACAGTGACTAAAATCAAAGGGCTATGACGTTAATTCTAGTATTAAATAATATATAATATTGTTACACTTAGTCTGGGTTTGGACATAAGACAGCTAATAGGAAAACAAACAGGGGATAAATTCATACCTGAAACAAGCTGCCCCAGGGATTAATTTCATCCATTGTACCTGGAAAATCTACTTTATCCAAAGTGGGGGGGGAAATCACACACGCGCGCGCGCACACATACATATACGACAGCATCAATTTACAGAGGATATGTTACACTGTTCAAGCACTGCCATCTCCAGTCCTCTCTTTGCGGGCTTGGATTATTTCCTTGGGAGCCTGTTTTCGGTCAGTAACCAAGCCCAACCAAAACATGAAGTCAATGAACCATGTGGTTGGGTTGAATTTCAAGCCTAGCTCACTGGCTGAATAATCAAATGGAAAGGTGTGGTGGTAGTTGTGGAAACCTTCACCTGGAAAAACAATCAAAGAAATGTTTTCAGGCTAGGGTGCCTAGCACGACTCTTTTCAGGCTGTGATGGAAATAGGAAGGAGGAAAAAAATAACAAGAGGTACCCCCTTCTGCAACACTGAAGGCACCCTACACTAAGGTGGTGCCCTACTTACTCCAGGGACCAGGGATCCATCTTGGGCCAAGTTCACAGGAAAAAAGTGCATCAGTTAGACAAACGCTGTTTTTAAACGGACTTAATTAAACCAGTTAGAAACCCCTGTGTGGGTACTGTTAAATCTGTTTACATCTGATTTAGGCTGATTAGTATAATTAGGTGCACATTCATCTCCATTTGCTGAACCAATGGGAGATGTGGTTCATATCAATAAAGGGCTTGGTGTTTTGGCTTCTTCAGTGAAGAACAGAGGGAAACAAAGATTTCTGACCTCAGTTGATAAGCAGAATCCCTCTTACTAAGGCATATGATAGAGAACAAGAAAAGGCTGAACAGGAGAGAGATGTAACATGGAGCCCTGCTTACATTGCCCCACAGAGTACCTCCATGAAGCCCAGCATGCCAACTTGGAATGGATGCCTTTGTGCATACTAGTGCACATGAGACTGAGAGCTTATTGGCATATACCCAGCACTGCTCTGAGGTAACTACATTACTCGGAGTTTGCACAGAAAGAACCAGCATGCCATGTGTCACTCTGGCACTCCCTACCAAGCTGTGGAGGCGGGGTAGACATGACCACAAATTCCCTGGGATGAGAATTAGAGCAGCAATAATTATTAGGTCCTATTTATGCACAGGAATTGGCCCACTGCTGACCAGATTGTAGTGAATGAGTCAGGGGGACTGGCTGTTTAGAACAGCTTGGCTGCTGTATAGTATGCAGAAAAGTTTTCTTCTGTTCACAACTGGAGCAGGGCTAAGAAAGGTTTGGTCGTGGGTATACTATCATCTCAACTTGCAAAACCTTGCCAACTTCTGGAATAACACAATGTGTCATAGGCAAAATTCCTCTCTTGCTGATTCCAATCTAGTTATTTGCAAGACATGCGCAGGTGATGAAAACTGTCAGAGCTCAGAGGAAGTCATTATAGAACTCAGCTGATTTATGCCCACTGAGGAATGAGCTCATTTACAGCTTACATCCTGGTGTAAAAAAGATAAGTATCAGGGACACTGTTCAGCCAAGCTATCGAGACAGGAAGGGACAGGTCCTATTCCATCTGTTAGGTACAAGAGTGGACTTAGGTACCCATATACAATCCTATTCCACCCTGTCTGAGTCCCTGAAAAACTACCATTGCAAAAGGGGGTGGCTCATCTTCCTCCTCCTCTGCACTGTTTTTTGTGACTCAATCAAGTTACAAATAGATTCACTGATGGATTTGCAGAAATTGAACAGGGTGGAATAGAATTGCATTTAGGTGCCTAAGTTTAGACACCTAAAATGTGGAACACAATTAGGCCCAAAATGTTTGGTCAGCAGGGTATCCGTCCCTGTCCCCTCCCTACCCACGCATGTCTGAAGCAGAAAGAAGAAGAAAGAAGTGTGCACAGGCCCTGACACTGGCATTCAAGGACACCTGACATCCAGGCAGTATTTACACTGAGCAACGGCAATGACTGACTGCAAAAATAGCCCCCTATGTCTATTGAAATAATATGGAAGAAGGATAATGGTTCAGGGCAAAACTTTAATTCATGCTAATTTGACCTGAGGGTGTGGGAAATGTCCATTTTTATTGGCTATAACAGGGCTGTCCAACTGGTAGGGCATGGGCCACAAGCAGTTCTTGACGTGTTAACATGCAGCACCCTGGGCTCCCACCCAGCTGTCACTGCTCTTATTGCTCCAGCTGCAGCAGGAGCAATAAGGTGCTCCCTCCCTCCCCTGGTGTCTGCTACCTGACCCAGCCTCAGGGGACAGGGTGGCACAGCACAGCCCATGTTGCCAGGGAAGCCAGCAGCCTGGAGTACCTGTGCAGCACGGTGCCATGGGGGAGCCCACGTGGGGGCTGCAGTTGGGATGGGGTGCCACACCACACGGGGGCAAGAATGCCTGCCCCTGTGCACATCGTACAGTGGAGCAAGGAAAGCACTTGCCCCCACACAGTACATTGGGATGGGGAGGGAAAGTACCTATCTGTACGTGGTGCAGTGGGATGGGGAGGTTTGATTCACCTACCATTGTGCATAATGAACGCAGAGGTGATTTCCTAAAGGAACCCCCTCATGGTAGGGTCCTACATCCATCCTTAGCGCCAAAAGCTGGGATTTTGAATCAACTTACATGGAAACAATGTTAGATCAACAGCCAGAGGTTTTGCAAGTACCATCCTATATAAACTGGCTTGATTTTCAAAAGCACTGAGGACTCAAAACCCCCCACCAGAAATGAGGTGCTGCTGGGTACTTCTGAAAATCAGACCAACTACTTAGGCACCAAAATATATGAACATGGGGTTGGAGAGCAAATTTTCAAAGGCACAGATGGATACCTTCTTCCTTTGGAAGCTGGATGCCTACTCAGCCTTTGTGCCTTCGAACATCTCCCACTAGGTTCAGGCACCTACTTTTGAAAATCTTGGCCAGAGCTTCTGTCTCTGCATAACTGCAGGTCATGAGCTTGGCAGTGGCTTCTCCCTCCAAGGATGTGCTAATTGTTTCCTCGCTCTGAGTGCCACAGGTATGCAAGACTGGCCAGTTAAACGGATTTCATTTAGTGCCCTTTGGGATGGAAGAGATGCAGGGCTCAGGTGCAGCAAATACGGAGAGGAGTCTTCATTCAGGAGACTGTTTATCAAATGAGGTCAGACACACAGATCCCAGAAGTTCCCCAGCTCCAGCTGACAAGTCATGCTGTGCAATGGTAATGCAGAGAGCCTGCCTTAAATCTTGATTGTGATGTAGCAAGCCTGGTTATAGGGGCTCTGTTTCAGGGACATTCTACTCCTAGCTAAGACCAGCACAGAGGCTTAGCGCACTGCAAAGCAACCCATTTCTTCTGGTACTCACCGATAGCTCCTAGGGTGACAAAGGCATTCTGCCTGGGGCTGATGTACTTGTCATATGGTCGGTTGCCGTACATGTGAGCTGCACTGTTGACCAGCCAGGTGACATTAAGAGACACGGTGTAGCGAAGGATGGAAGCAAGGAAGTAGGAATTCCACAGACTCTCACCCCAGAGGTACCAGGGCACAAGGGTGGGGAGCACAAAACACATGAGCACGACTGAACTCTTATAGTACCTAGGGGGAAACAAAAAGAAAGGAACAACATTGCCATGAGAGAAGGCCTAACTCTGCAGTTACTTGAGTGGGACTCAGGAAACTCATGTCTGCCCTAACCTTCCTGTGTCCCTGGAGCACGGCACTTTACCTCTGTGTGTCGGTTCTCTGCCTGTAAAATGGAGACAACAATACTTTATTTGTCCTTCTGATCCAACTGTATTGTCAGCTCTTTGGGGCAAGGGCTGTGTCATAGTTTCATAGATATTAGGGGCTAGAAGGGACCTTACAGATCATCAGGTCCAGCCCCAAATGATGATTCACCGTGTTCATAAAAATCTAGTAAAAGGACCCTGGATCTCACAGTAAGTGCTTCTGTAATATAGATAAAAATAACTGGAATAGGGAAATCTTTCATAAGGAAATCTGGCATGCAGTTCACACCTCTTCTTGGAAACAAGCGCAACTTCTTTGACCTAGAAAAGAGCAGGGCTGAATATTCAGTGACAGCCCAAAACAGATAGGAAGCTTTGAGAGGTTTAAGATATGTGGTAACTCCAGAAGGCATGTGGGAAAAACTTAAAATCACAATACAGGCAGCTGCTAAAGAAACACTGAACAGGCAAAAGATATGGATATTGGATAAGGTCCTGGACCTTAGAGAGAAAAAGAAGAAGTGCGATAAACTGCATACTGTCCAAACCAAAGAGAAATCCATGACATAAACAAAGAGATGCACTGTGCAGAAGAACCGAATAAAGGTACTCGGCTAGCATGCAGCAGAAGAGAGCAGCAACTCTCCTGAGGTTTTTGCACACTTAAAACAGACAAGAAAAGGCAAACATCAGTAAGTCACTAGATCCAAATCAGGCACTCTACTTCCTGACTCTAAACACGTAACAGAAAGAGGGCAGAATCACTGCAAAGAGTTATCACATAATGCTGAGGACACCAATGTAACTTGGGGAGATTAGGCACAAGAACTATGCCCACTTAAATACGTAGTACCCCAGGCAATGGAGACAACCAAGTCAGAAAGCCCCTTCAGATCAGGCAAAGTTCTAACAGAACACCTTAAGAAAGCAGCTGATACTTGCTGCAAAGTGTGAGGAACTGGAAAACGGCCAAGAGACTAGATGACTCAATTTAATGTACTGATACTGAAAAAGAGGGATCCAAAGGAATACTCAAACAACTTCATGATTTCACTGGTGTCTCATACAAGCCAAATACTGCTAAGGGTAGTTCTGGAGTGAATACAGACTACATTAGAAGAGATCACAACACAGCAAGCAGTATTTTGGCAGGGCAAAGAGACAAAAAAGCAATTGACAAATTTAAGAAAAGTGATGAAGAAAGCAAGAGTTTGGATAACCTCTGTATCTCAAGTTTGTCAGCTTCCATTAAGCTTTCAGTGCAATGGTACACACAAAGCTACGGCTATGCAGGCTTGAGACGGGTTTCCCTAGGGAAACCCAAGGAACAGAAAGCTACAGTCAGGGTTACTGGACTGACATTGGAATGGCTCCAAGTATGAAAAGGAGTTTGACAAGGCATCTCTCCCCATGTCCCTATACTCTTTCACATCTACACAGAAATGATCATGTGCCAAGCACTTGCAGATTCTGAAAGAGATCAGAAAATTGCAGGTAGAAGGCTTAGTAATCTGAGGTAGGTAGACAGTATTATTTTGATTGCCACTACCCTAGAAGAGCTGAAAGATCTAGTGGAAAGATTGGTCATGGCAGGAAAGAGACACAACAGCACAGTTAACATTCCAAAGACCAAAGTGATGACTACAACTAGAGAAAGATTCAAAGTTAAAATAGATATGAGGCTTTGGAACAAGTCTCAAAGTATATATTTGGGTATCATCCTATTGGAAGGCAATAAGTGCATGAGTAAAGTATGCAAAACTCATTCAGCAGTAAAGCATTTGAATGCAATATGGACAAGTAGGCAGACTTCTAACAAAATTTAAAAAAAGATTACTACAAGCATTGGTTAGGCTAATAGCAAAATGCAGCTGTAAAAATTGGATGCTTATGAAGGAGTTGGAGAGAAAATTACAAGCATTTAGGATGATGTGCTATAGAAGGATATTTCCTGGATCCAGAAAAGATTCAACAATTGGATGCTCAATAAAATTGGAACCAAGCTTCAACTGATGAAAATGGTGAAAAAGAAAACATTGAAGTACCGCATGCATATTGTAAAAAGAGGAAATGATAGCTTAGAAAATAAGAAGGTTGTGCTAGGGAAGAGAGTAGGGCTGGCCAAGAAAATGATGATTCAAAGATATTGAAAACTAAGTGGAGAGCACTTCCCAAGTTTCACTAACCTGCAAGACAAAGAGGGCACTTGATTGACTGACTGATTGATATAGAAATCCTTCAGAAGAAAATCTGACATGCAGTTCCCATCCCAAGTCATTTTCAGAGGAGTTTTTCTAAATAATTATAATGAATAATGTGTTCACATGACTTGTTTTTGTTAACAAATCTGAGCATTCCTTTATTTTACTGGCTGTTTGCCTATTTAATTCACATAGGGCTAAACTCTGGAGTTTTTAGTCATTTTTTGGTTTGAGGAAAAATTCTTATCTTACAAAAGGATATTGTTACTGTTCAACATCTTCATCAGTGATTTGGATGAGGGGGTGCAAAGCACCCTGTTCAAATTTGCTGATGATACCAAGATGTGGGGGGATGTGGGCACAATAGAAGGGAGCAACAGGCTACAGTTGGACCTTGACAGGTTACAAGGATGGGCGGAGGAGAACAGGATGGGGTTCAACACAGACAAGTGCAAGGTGATGCACCTGGGGAGGAACAACCGGCACCATACCTACAGGCTGGGGAACTCCCCTCTTGTCAGCACGGAGGTGGAAAAGGATCTTGGAGTCATTATTGACTCCAGGATGAACATGGCTCAGCAGTGTGGGGAGGCGGCTAGGAAGGCCAACTGTACCTTGTCGTGCATCCACAGATGCATTTCAAGCAGGACCAAGGAGGTGATCCTCCCCCTTTATGCGGCACTGGTCAGGCCGCAGCTGGAGTACTGCGTCCAGTTCTGGGAGCC